CGTGATAGGGGCTTCTTGCAGTTCTTGATGAACACGGAGTTCCATGAGTCTGGCCCTGGGCAGAGTGCATGGGCATGTCATTTATTCGCCTGTTCGAAGTCATTTGGCGTCAGGATAACATCGGATAGGCTTGTGTTAACCAAATTTTGTGGCTCTTTCATAAAAAATTCGTTTTGATCTTCGACTCTCAGTCTGGTTAGCGGCTTGCTAAAAACTGAGTCATATTGGGACTTGAGTAGCTCACTCATTTCCTTGCTGTCATCTGTGTAGGACCCATCTTGTTTAAGTAGGGGCCCAATACTGGATGTTGTTCTGGACTTTGATTTGGCATAGGAGAAGAAATACTTTGGGTTTCTTTCGATTTCATTTATGGCTTTTAGTTCTTCCCGCGATTCCTGACTCCTATAAGATTCCTTTAGCTTGAGTTTGATGCTTGCTATTTCTCTGACCAGTGTCTCCCTACGTATTTCAGATATATTGACCTCTTTTAGCCGCTCTGTTATTCTTTTCCGTCGCCTGTAAAGGAGCGCCTGTCTCTTTCTATTTTACATCTACTCCTTCTTTTTCTTAGAGGAATAAGCCTTGTGCATAGATCGAGTGCCACCAAGTTAATCTGTTCTTGGCATACGTTGGGGTCTGTGTTGCTTAGTATATCTTCCCAGCTTATATCAGTTAGGACTTGGTTTACTTGGTCCCACTTTATGTTTTTGTTATTGAAGTTGAATTTGGTGAATGCTCCCTCGTGACTAGTCTCATTATGTCGGTCTGGGGCTCCACGCATACATGTCTGAACCTCAATTATGTTGTGATCTGAGAATATTGTTTTTGATATGGTTACATTTCTTATCAGATCATCATTGTTAGTGAAGATGAGGTCTAGTGTATTCTCCATTCTAGTAGGCTCTATTATTTGCTGGTTTAAATTGAATTTTGCGCAGAGATTTAAAAGCTCGTGTGAGTGTGAGTTTTCATCAGAACTGCCTCCTGGTGTTATTACTGCAACAATATTATTTGCTATATTCCTCCATTTTAGGTGCCTTAAGTTGAAATCCCCCAGGAGCAAGATGTTGGGTGCAGGAGCTGGAAGATTTTCCAGATAGTGGTCAATTTTTAACAACTGTTCCTGGAATTGCTGGGATGTTGCATCCGGAGGCTTGTAGACTACCACAATGACTAGGTTTTGATTCTTGACCTTTACTGCTAAAACTTTCACTACATCATTTGAGGCATTTGGCAGTTCTGTGCAAACAAGTGACTCTGCAATGTACAGGCCAACCCCCCCCTTTTGCCTGTTCACTCTGTCACATCTGTATAGGTTGTAACCTGGGATCCATATTTCGTTGTCCAAGTGATCCTTTATGTGGGTCTCAGTGAAAGCCGTGAACATTGCCTTTGCCTCTGCAAGCAGTCCACGGATGAAAGGTATTTTGATGAGCTTGACCCCTGGCTGGGCTCTGGCAGTAGAAAAACACTCAGAACTCATCAGAGGTTAAGGTTAGTTTGTCAATAGTGCATGTGAGGAGTTAATAATAATAATATATTTTATTTTGATATGATACATGTATGAAGGAAGGGGCAAAACTTGTTCAACAAGACAGTCATGTAAGAAGCGAAGTTGATACATGTATGTACAAACCCCTTTATATGCAGAGCATTTCTGGCAAACTTAAAATTAACTTAAGATTAATATGGTCATTAGATGAGTTACAATGAATACAAGAGACTTGAGTATTCTATTAAGTCATGCTATACGACTTTAATAAGTCTTATAGAGAAGACATACTTTTTTATTATTAACCTAAGGCAGATACAATGGAGTGATTACTATTTAACATTAGGACATAAGAAAGGAGGAACACTGCAGCAAGCCTGTTGGCCCATACTAGGCAGGTCCTTTACAATCCATCCCACTAACAAAACACTTGCCCAACCCAATTTTCAACACCACCCAAGAAATAAGCTCTGATAACTCTATCCACTCTCATATGCAAGTCACACTCAAATCCGACCCCTCTCACTCGTGTATTTCTTTCTTTAAACACACTGGCTGTATCCCACTGAGGCGGGGTGGCCCAAAAGGAAAAATGAAAGCTTCTCCTTTTACATTTAGTAATATACACAGAAGGGATTACTAGCCCCTTGCCCCTGGCATTTTAATCGCCTCTTACAACACGCATGGCTTACGGAGGAAGAATTCTGTTCCACTTCCCCATGGAGGTAAGAGGAAATAAACAAGAAAAAGAACTAGTAAGAAAACAGAAGAAAACCCAGAGGGGTGTGTATATACATGCTTGTACGTGTGTGTGTAGTGTGACCTAAGTGTAAGTAGAAGTAGCAAGACGTACCTGAAACTTTGCATGTTTATGAGACAGAAAAATGGACACCAGCAATCCTACCATCATGTAAAACAATTATAAGTTTCCTTTTACACTCACTTGGCAGGACGGTAGTACCTCCCTGGGCGGTTGCTGTCTACCAACCCACTACTTAGAACTTATGTATTTATCCAATCTAAATTTGAAACTACCCAAGGTTTTAGCCTCAAGAACCCAACTAGGTAGACTGTTCCACTCATCAACTATCCTATTTCCAAACCAATACTTTCCTATATCCTTTCTAAATCTAAACTTGTCTAATTTGTATCCATTACTGCGGGTTCTCTCTTGGAGAGATATCCTCAAGATCTTATTTATATCCCCTATGACATTCATTTGAGATGAATACAGATATTGAGAACAAATATACAGTATATTGATAATATTGATGAAAAAGTTTTACTTCTGTTCATGATATTGAACAAATGCATGTACAGGTTTTACATACGTATTTATGATGGGCTGGGGTAGGTTAAGGAGATAAGGTGTTTTTTAACTGTAGTTTTAAAAATGCTGAACCAGTGGTTCTGGAGATTTCTGGTAGAGAGTTCCAGATTTTGGGCCCTTTTTTGTATAATGAATTTTTTAAAAGATTTAGCCTTACACGGGGAATGTCATAGAGGTTTTTGTGCCTAGTGTTGTGTCTGAGTCCTATTGCAACTGCTAAGAAAGTGTTTCCGGTCGGGATTTATATTAGAATTCATTGTTCTGTAAATGTAGGTTGTACAATAGTATGAGTTAATGTTTTGTATAGTCAGTAAGTATAGGTCTTTGAAGAGTGGGGGAGTAGGGTTGTCTAGCAGTGGATTGTGTGAGAAGTTGCACTGCGGCTTTTTGTTGTGTTATTATTGATTTTAGGTGGTTTGTCGTTGTGGAACCCCAGGCACAAATATGGGTAGATCAGTGAATAGCATAGTGTAAGTAGTGGTGTTTGTGGTACACAGTAAACATATCTCTGAGAGGATGACAACTGTTTTAGAACCTTTTTTGTTATGTGTTGGATATGAATGTTGAATTTTAGGTTGCTGTCAAGGTGCACACCAGGAATTTTCCCTCATTATGTTTAGCAATAAGGAAGTTGTTAAGCATATTTAGTTGGTCCTCGCTTGCTCTACTACCAAACATAATGTAAAAGGTTTTGTCTATATTAAGTAGGAGTTTATTGATGGTCAACCAGGTTGCTGTTTTTGCGAGTTCTTCGTCAGCAATAGTGTTGAGTGAGGCTAAATTTGGGTGAGAGATGACAAAAGTTGTGTTGTCAGCAAAGAGAATAGGTGTAAGTTGTTGTGATACTCTTGGAAGATCATTGATGTATAACAGGAAAAGGAGGGGGCCAAGAATGCTACCCTGTGGTACACCAGTGTCCAGGGATCTTGTCGAGGAGGTTGTGCCATTGACAGACATTGCTTTCTCTTAGTGAGGTAGGACTTGATAAATGCAAGCACATGGCCTCTTATACTGTAATGATTAAGCTTGAGGAGTAGGATGCTGTGATCTACTGTATCAAAAGCTTTCTTAAGGTCGATAAAAGGTCCAAGTGGGTATTCATTTTTATCTAGTACTGTGTAAAGTAGGTCTAGCATTTTTATTATTGTATCATTTGTGCTTTTGTTTCTCCTGAAGCCAAACTGGCAGGGATTGAGGATGCTTTGTGGTGTTATGAAGGAGTGTAAGCTTTTGTGTATGAGTTTCTTGAAGATTTTGGAAAGTAAAGACAAGTTTGATATTAGCCTATAATTGTTTATATTGTAGGTAGTAGGTTGGTAGACAGCAACCACCCAGGGAGGTACTACCGTTCTGCCAAGTGAGTGTACAACGAAAACCTGTAATTGTTTTACATGATGGTAGGATTGCTGGTGTCTTTTGTCTGTCTCATAAACATGCAAGATTTCAGGTATGTCTTGTTACTTCTACTTGCACTTAGATAACACTACACATACATGTACAAGCATATATATACACACCCCTCTAGGTATTCTTCTATTTTCTTTCTAGTTCTTGTTCTTGTTTATTTCCTCTTATCTCCATGGGGAAGTGGAACAGAATTCTTCCTCCGTAAGCCATGCGTGTTATAAGAGGTGACTAAAATGCCGGGAGCAAGGGGCTAGTAACCCCTTCTCCTGTATAAATTACTAAATTTAAGAGAAACTTTCGTTTTTATTTTTGGGCCACCCTGCCTTGGTGGGATATGGCCAGTGTGTTGAAAGAAAGAAGAATTGTTTATATCTGTTGGGTCACCACCTTTGTGTATTGGTGTAATCCTTGCTAGCTTGAGTGTTGCCAGGAAAGTGTTGGTATCTAGCAATTTGTTGAAGATTAATGCAATGGTGGGTGAAAGGATTTGAGTGGCTCGTTTATTCAGTAGTGGTGGCACTTGGGTTACATTCCTTGATTTGTTTTTTAGAGTTAATAATCATGGTAACCTCAGTGGGCTGTGTTGGTGTAAGCTAGAGGGATGTTGGGAAGTTATGGCATTTTGTTGAGCAGATCTTCAATCTTTGTCAGTATAGTTTATTAAATTCATCTCATGTAGTAACTGGGTTGATTGATGCCATCCAGATTAGATCTTTACAATGACTCTCCAGTAATAGTGTAATATAAATACTTTATAAATTTTGTTTCCAGAAACTGTCTGTCTTCCACCAAGGTAGTGACCCAAACAAAGAAGAAATGCTTTTGCCATCACAGTCTTGCCAGAGTGGCACTGATACTACACCTCAAAACTGCAAACGTCTCCACCCGTCCTTTAGGGTGCAGGTACTGTACTTCCTTAGTTGTGTTGTATAGTAATTGAAGAGAGTTGTTGGATAGATGTACTTGAAATATTTGTCATTTTGTATTAGTGATTTGTATTAAAAGTCATATACAGTAGACTTGTTTAACATGGTTTTGTCTTGCACATTTTGGTTATAGCACGATTGAAGAATTGTGGCATTTTTGTGTTTGACACTTTGTAAAATTAGTTTAACACAGTTGTGGGAGGGAAAAAAATTGAGCCCGCGGTCGCCCATGGGGCAGGATGGGCTACAGCCATCCCCCGCTACCCCCACCACCCTCCCAGCCTTCAGTTCAGTTCATATGTGTGTTGGACGAATCTGTGCCAGTAGCTCCCTGTGTTTTAGATATGTATTAATTGACATGTCTTAAATCTGCCAAGCAATCATGGCACCCAGTAGGCATACAAGTGTTGCTAAAAGTTGCAAGAAAAGGTTTAAAGAAAATAGAGATATTAGACAAGAGATACCCTGTGGCAGGAATGAACTGTCATTTTGTACACAAAAAGAATTAGGTAAATATGAGTTTGTGTGACGACTGTCTGACTTGACTGACTGAATGACTTGACTGACCTACTGAATGACTTGACTGACTGAATGACTTGACTGACTGAATGACTTGACTGACCTACTGAATGACTTGACTGACTGAATGACTTTGCCCTTGTAGTAGACCCTGTCAGTTATATACTACAGGTCGGCCATCACTAATCCGGCATCACTGGGACCTGTAGTGTGCTGTATTAGTGAGTTTGCTGGATTATAAAGTGGTTAGGTTAGAGTACACATAATTAACCTATCAAGAGAGAGAGAGAGACTTTCTGCTATATCTTCCTCATTTTCATCACTGCTTTCTCCTCTGGCTTGCTGCTGCTGTGGATTTACAACCATCTGCACAATTTCTGAGTCAGTATAATACAGGTCCGCCATCACAAATCCGGCAATCAGTTATTCGGCACTAATTTTGACTAGCATAATTTCAGATTTCCAGGGTTGCCACACCAACCTGCTGGTACTGTTTGGTGGCACTACTTGCTGCATAAGTCATTCCAGTTTCTTTTTCTCCATTTATTGTTATAACCTGCTTGCTTTTAGCCCTAGCCATGGTTCCAATGAATAAAAGAAATGCTTCTCATTATGTAAAGCACCAACACAGTACATAATCCATTAAAGATAAGGTGGCTTTGAAGCCACTGTCGGCTGCCATGAGCTCAGTATCATGATGCAGGAGAATATGCTTTATTATTACGCTAATATCAACACTACAGCTTATTTGCCTATCACAATTAATCTAATATGACATAATAAAGAATATAAATAACATAAAACATGTTAAATACTCCAGAATAAATAATTGGCATAACACCGAGCAGTTCGACGGAGGTATGAAGAGGATATGGTATACAAATACCATTCTCCTATCCCTGTCTTGGGGGCTTATATTAGAGAAAACGGAGTGTAGCACAGGGCTAACTGTGATATACACTTGTACTACACCATAAACCTGAAACAAAATGTTATTTTCTCTATATAGATTATCACACGTAGCAGCATATGTGTAAAGAACCTAGGATAACCCAAAAAAAGTCAATGTGACTTATTTCTAGTACCTGGCTTGGGTTAGCCATATATGATTTTTGGTAAATATTCGATTCCCAGCCGGGGTAGAAACATAGGCTGTGTTTCTTTACACCTGTTGTCTGTTTACCCATCAGTAAATGGGTACCTGGGTGTTAGCTGACTAGTGTGGGTGTTATCCTGGGACACTGGCCTAATTTTCTTGAAATACTCTGCATAACAAGTGGCTTTCTATATAATAGTATGTCACTGATCTCAGCTAGGCCTGTGTAATGTGTACATGTACGTGTAGTAAATAAAGATATTATTATTTTATTAATAATAATAAAATAATAATAATATTTATTTTCTCAATTGTTTGTTGGGTTATCTTATTGAAACTTGGTCAATGTATGATGGAAAGATACTTCTTAACGTACACCAAAAATGAAAGAAATCAGACTATAAATAGCAGAGTTCACTTCTCAGCCATTAGCAGCCGCTTAGCGGTATATTTTTGTATGGTTTTTATGGTTATATTCTCGTTTTTTTGGTCTCATTTGATAGAATGAAAGATATATTACAGAAATAGATATGATTTTGATTGCTTACATGACGAAAAGTACCTCGAAATTGCGCTCACAGTAGCGAAAATGTTCTATTGTTTAGCGAGGCTCAAGAGTAAACAAATGATGTCACCGACCAATACCTGTCCGCCTGCCAGTCCAAATTCCAATACGGAGTCAAGAATGGGTTGACATTATTTACACAATTGTTACAATAATGCAGCAGTCTGCATAACAGAGAACCTTCACGGCGCGCATAACGGAGATAAAACACCTCAATTACTGGGAGCGCTTGAGGTTCCTGAACCTGTATTCCCTGGAATGCAGGCGGGAGAGATACATGATTATATACACCTGGAAAATCCTAGAGGGACTAGTACCGAACTTGCACACGAAAATCACTCACTACGAAAGCAAAAGACTTGGCAGACGATGCAACATCCCCCCAATGAAAAGCAGGGGTGTCACTAGCATGTTAAGAGACCATACAATAAGTGTCAGGGGCCCGAGACTGTTCAACTGCCTCCCAGCATACATAAGGGGGATTACCAACAGACCCCTGGCAGTCTTCAAGCTGGCACTGGACAAGCACCTAAAGTCGGTTCCTGATCAGCCGGGCTGTGGCTCGTACGTTGGTTTGCGTGCAGCCAGCAGTAACAGCCTGGTTGATCAGGCTCTGATCCACCAGGAGGCCTGGTCACAGACCGGGCCGCGGGGGCGTTGACCCCGGAACTCTCTCCAGGTAAACAGTAAATCTTCTATTTTTTTGTGAATAAAAGTTCAAAATGGTAAGCAAGAGGGGCCAGGAGCTGTGACTAATGAACAGAGAAAATGTTATTTTAGTGCCAGGAATGTCTGCATTGTTTATTCTGGATCCTATTTTGAAATTGGCATCTGTTGAAATTTGCGTGAAATTGGCCAAATTGCCAATTTTTGACCACTTTATTGGGTAGTTGAAATAAGTGAATGGGCAGTTTCTTGTACTTAATTGACAGACTAGAAGTAAATAAGTTTATTCAGGTATACACAAATACAGTTACATAGATTATCATACATAGCAGTGTATGTATAGAGAACCTAGGATAACCCAAAAAGTCAGTGACTTATTTCCAGTGCCTGGCTTGGGCTTGCCATATATGATTTTTGGTAAATATTTTTTTTCTCAGTTGTTTGTTGGGCTATCTCATTGAAACTTGGGCAATGTATGATGCTTCTTACCGTACAACAAAAATAAAAAAGACGGACGATAAATAAGGGAGTTCACTTCTCAGTCGCCTCTTTGTGGTATATTTTTGCATGGTTTTTGTGGTTGTATTCATGTTTCTTGGTCTCATTTGACAGAATGGAAGATATATTACACAAATAGACGTGATTTTGATTGCTTTCACGACGAAAAGTACCTTGAAATTGAGCTCAAAGTAGCGGAAATGTTCGATTTTTGCCGCTGTTCAATGAACTTCGTGTAAGTCAAGTTGGTTAATTTTATTAAGTGTACAGTGGACCCCCGCTTAACGATCACCTCCAAATGCGACCAATTATGTAAGTGTATTTATGTAAGTGCGCTTGTACGTGTATGCTTGGGGGTCTGAAATGGACTAATCTACTTCACAATATTCCTTATGGGAAAAAATTCGGTCAGTACTGGCACCTGAACATACTACTGGAATGAAAAAAGTTCGTTAACCGGGGATCCACTGTATTCTAACCTAACCACTCTGTAATCCGGCAAACTCAGTAATCTGGCACACTACAGGTCCCAATGATGCCGGATTTGTGATGGAGGACCTGTAATGAAATATGAGTCGGTATAATGATGAAATATGAGTCAGTATAATGATGAAATATGAGTTGGTATAATGATGAAATATGAGTCGGTATAATGATGAAATATGAGTCGGTATAATGATGAAATATGAGTCAGTATAATGATGAAATATGAGTCGGTATAATGATGAAATACGAGTCGGTATAATGAAATACGAGTCGGTATAATGACGAAATACGAGTCGGTATAATGACGAAATACGAGTCGGTATAATGACGAAATACGAGTCGGTATAATGACGAAATACGAGTCGGTATAATGATGAAATACGAGTTGGTATAATGATGAAATACGAGTCGGTATAATGATGAAATACGAGTCGGTATAATGATGAAATACGAGTCGGTATAATGATGAAATACGAGTCTGTAAATGATGAAATACGAGTCGGTATAATGATGAAATACGAGTCGGTATAATGATGAAATACGAGTCGGTATAATGATGAAATACGAGTCGGTATAATGATGAAATACGAGTCAGTTTTAATGATGAAAAAACGAGTCGGTATAATGATGAAATACGAGTCGGTATAATGATGAAATACGAGTCGGTATAATGATGAAATACGAGTCGGTATAATGATGAAATACGAGTCGGTATAATGAAATACGAGTCGGTATAATGATGAAATACGAGTCGGTATAATGATGAAATACGAGTCGGTATAATGATGAAATACGAGTCGGTATAATGATGAAATTTGAAATTATGCTAGCTGAAATTAGTGCTGGATTACTGATGGAACCGGATAACTAATTGCCAGATTAGTGATGACTGACCTGTACTAGTAGTAGTCCCTGTCAGTTATATAGTACTTGTAGTAGTCACTGACAATTATATAGCACTTATAGTAGCCCTGACAGTTATATAATAGTTTGTTTTAGTGGTCTACTGTATCAAATACTTTCCATAGGTCAGTGAAGAGCCCCAGAGAATATTCATTTTTTTCAGTTGCTGTACACTATATAGTAATTCGAACATCTGAGGTAGTACAATTTATGATACAATCTTACATTTTTAAGTTTGTAATTAATTCTTTCACAGTGGTAAATACAAATATTCTATATTTCACACTGTTATTAACCCTTTCAGGGTCCAGAGGCCAAATTTCGAAGTGTGCACCAGGGTCCAAGAATTTTCAAAAAAAATTTTTGTTATTTTTTCCTTATGAAATGTTAGAGAAACTTTTTCTGAAGGTAAAACAAAAAGTACGAAATTTGATGGAAAATTGATGAAATTATGCTCTTGCGATTTTGCCAACTTTGACTCCCATTTTAGGTGAATTACAATATAACAATCAATCAAATAATTAGCTATTTCACTAGTATTACTTCAATTCTATCGAATGAGCACAAGAAATCGCTCGGTCAACTGTTTCAACTACAAAATAGTGATCGGAAATTGGTAATTTGGCCAATTTAATGCAAAGATCAAAATATTCCAATTTCAAAATAGGGTCCAGAATAAACAATGCAGGCATTCCTGGCACTAAACTAACATTTCCTCTGCTCATTAGTTATGTTTTCAGGCTTTACAAATTAATTCTATTTTTATTTTTTATTCACATAATGAATTTTTATTCAAACCAAAGAACAGAAGATTTACTGTTATGCAATATTGTAATAATTGTATAAATAATATCACCACATTTGTGAACATATATTAGACCCAACAGCTGGCGTGTATTAGACGTGTGAGGTCATTTGTTTACTCTTGAACATCAGCGAAAATTTAACATTTCCACTACTTTAAGCTCGGTTTCAAGCCATTTCCAAAACTATAACCAATCAAAATCATCCCCTATTTCTGTTTAATATATCTTCCATTCTATCAATTGAGACCAAGAAATCGCAAATACATCTATATAAAACATACTAAAAAACCCTGGCCAAAGTCGCTGTTTTAATCGAAATTATGGTTTCATTTTTTCTCTCCTTATGCACTGTGTGCTGCAGGATTTTTTTATGTGGTGCACACATACCACATAGATATATTCTCTCATATTTACCACTTGCAGCTTATCTGAATGAGCTGAGCTAATGGCATAGAACTATGGTTTGGACCCTCAACTCAAAGCCATAGAACTATGGCACGGACCCTGAAAGGGTTAATGTACGAGGTAGTACAATTTATGATAAAATCAATCTTACTTTTTTTAGTTCGCAATTAAGTTCATTTACTTTATTATTAACGAGGTAATACAGACCAATATCTAACTTGTGCTTTTATTCAGCCTAAACCCAAACTGGCAAAGGCTCAGTATGTTATGGGATAGGAGGTAGGAGTAGATTTGTTTATAGATTATTTTTTCGAAGATTTCAGAGAGGAAAAGAGTTATATATTGGTCCGTAGTTATTTAGTTCTGTAGGACCGTCTCTTTTGAGGATCGGGGTGACCCTTGCCATCCATACTCAAGACAACAAGGGTACTATATATATATACAGAACTAAATAACTACAGACTAATATCTAACTCTCTTTTCCTCTCTGAAATCTTTGAAAAAATAATCTATAAACAAATCTACTCCTACCTCCTACCTTTGCCAGTTTGGGTTTAGGCTGAATAAAAGCACAAATGATCAATTATTCAGATACTTGAATTACTATATACAGCAACTGAAAAAAATGAATATCCTCTGGGGCTCTTCAAAGACCTACGGAAAGCATTTGATACCATGCACTTAAAACTGAGCATTATGGGGTCAGAGGACACTCTCTCAATTTACATAAAATCTTATCTTAGTGGAAGACATTAGTATGCAGTATTCATAAATGGCATGACCTTCATATCAGCCTGTAATTGTGAAAGTGCACGGGAAGTGTCCTAGGTCCTCTATCTTTCTTATTACATCAATTGACCTCCCAAATGCACATCCTGTCCTTTATAAGTTACTTGACAAGGTACATCTGTACCATTATATTGACAAAAGTACAATCTTGGACCATTATAAAGTCACTTAACAAAGGTACATCTTGGGCCATTATAAAAGTACATGATGAAACAAATGTCGGTAAATATTTCCTTTCCAAATGTTGATCGATATGAACTTTTGTCATTACTGTCTAGTATTTTAGTGTACAAATAGTGTTTTCTAATACGCAGAGGTTTTTTGTACCAGTAAATGTAAGTTAGTGTACTTAGGATAAATGGTTTGTTTTATTGGTGTTTTATGGAGCAGAGGAGAGAGAGAGAGAGATACATGATGATATATACATACCTGGAAAATACTCAAGGGCCTGGTCCCAAATCTACACACTGCCATAACAAGATACTGGAGTGAGAAATATAGGAGGAAGTGTAAAATAAACCCAGTGTTTTTACTGAATCATCTTATACAGTGGACCCTCGGGTAACGGTGGGATCGGCTAATGCCAAAATCGGATAGTGGCACATTTTTGCGTAAAAATATTGGCTCGGCTAATACCCAAGAACTTGGTTAAGGGCATTCATCCCGAACATGTCCGCGCAGCCTGAGCCCATGTAAAGCCAGTGTGCCATTGTTTACAAGCCAGGGAGGATTGATTCCTCATGTACATGCAATATATTTTGTATTCCATTGTTTTTAGTGCTTGTAACTGCTAAATAAGCCACCATGGGCCCAAAGAAAGCTTCTAGTGCCAGCCCTGTGGTAAAGAAGGAAAGAAGTACAGTAGAATTCAAGAAAAAACTCGTAGCAAAGTACCAAAGTGGAGGAGGAAGAGAGGGGAAACTGTGCCTTCTGCAGTGATTCTATGATATGTATGATAATAAAGCAGCAGGTGTCGATAAAGGCTATAGTGCCAGCCAGCGACAAAGTGTAGAATAACAGTGTAGCAAGTAGTTAAGCGAGTAAGCGATGGAAAAACGACTGAAAGTAACTCTCCAATGTTGTTGCATGTGCTTTCGGGCCGCTGCATACGCCGCCCTGCTTATGTATCTTCCATCAACCCTAAACCTCTGCCAGCATCTCCTCCATCAAACTAATTAAACTAACATCTCTCCAAGGAAAGTGTTAATATAAAAAGTGAAAAGTATAAAAGTAAATACATATATAAGTGTAATATAAAAAGACCCAATGGAAATACGTCACTGACTTTTTTGGGTTATCCAGGTCTTTACACATATGCTGCTAGTATGATAATCTATGTAACTGTATTTGTGTATACTTGAATAAACTTACTTAATTATTTATAAATTAAAATGTAAATATTTCTTATTTAAATTACATACATTGTTTAAGTGTGATAGTTGGTGAGTTCTGCTGCCACCTTCCACACCACTAATAGTACGGCATCCTTTCTGTGCCCTTATAAACCCAACAACAACACTTCCATCACTTTACTCCTCTCTACATTATGACATATTTTATTCATTCTAGAGTATATATCATGTTTCTATGTTATTAATATTGTTTATAATATATTAGATGAATTGTGATAAATAAGCTGTCCTAGGTAGTAGGTTGGTAGACAGCAACCACCCAGGGAGGTACTACCGTCCTGCCAAGTGAGTGTAAAATGAAAGCCTGTAATTGTTTTACATGATGGTAGGATTGCTGGTGTCCTTTTTTCTGTCTCATAAACATGCAAGATTTCAGGTATATCTTGCTACTTCTACTTACACTTAGGTCACACTACACATACATGTACAAGCATATATATACACACCCCTCTGTTTTCTTCTATTTTCTTTCTAGTTCTTGTTTATTTCCTCTCATCTCCATAGGGAAGTGGAACAGAATTCTTCCTCCGTAAGCCATGCGTGTTGTAAGAGATGACTAAAATGACGGGAGCAAGGGGCTAGTAACACCTTCTCCTGTATAAATTACTAAATTAAAAAGAGAAACTTTCGTTTTTCTTTTTGGGCCACCCTGCCTTGGTGGGATACAGCCGGTTTGTGAAAAAAAAAAAAGCCTTAGAGATATTAATGTCATATTGAAGCATAATAAACTCGCCTTCCTCTCTCCTCCTACCTGTCTTCCATACACCAAGAAGTCAATAAGGTAAGTGTGATGCTAAATGTTCATTTATCCATTTTATTAGTGCTTTATATTTATTTGTCATTGTTTTCTGTATATATATCTATATTTAATCTTTTAAAAAAATATCTTTTGTTAATACTTTTGGCTGTTTGAAATGGATTAATTGGATTTCCATTATTTCTTATGGGGAAAATTAATTCAGCTAAAGGCAAAATCGGTTAAAGGCAAGCTCTCTGGAATGGATTTATGCCATTACCCGATGGTCCACTTTATATAAAAAAATATCATTTGTTGTTTCTCAGGTGCTGTATAATCAGTACAAGTTTAGAGCTTCCCAACGACTCTGAAGGTAAGTCTGTAAGGCTGGATTATAAAAGGCTGAACGGCTTGCCTTGTGAAACTCTTATGTATTGAGAGGATCACTTTGTTAATTATTGTAAAAAGTGTAGTAGCATCATAATTTTATATGTGTTTAAAGATTAATAAGTTTGTCATCTCATAAAAATGGAATAATGTGAATTTGTAAAATACTTTTTTCGTTAGATTTTGGACTTCAGGTTCTCATCAACTTACAGTGGGGTTATGTTCCCACAAAACCATTGAAAATATTTTGTCAAATATGAATTATATGATAAGTCAATAAATAACTACTGTCACTGAATAATAAACAAATAATTACTCTAAATACCAGTATTGAAAAGTCAGTAAATGAATAAAAGTTATGGACTTGTTGCCTTCATATTGGGTAATTATCTCAAGTTTCACCTCCAAAGTAATTGTTGCCACATCATCGTAAAGTTGAAATGTTTTTGAGTCAAATCATTGTAAGTTGGGGCGCACCTGTAGTGTGTGGTATTGTGATAAAATAAGAGTCATTTATTGCAGGAATGCTACTCTAGTACATGTGTTTGAGGACACTTTCCATTTTATCACAGGAATTTTTTTTGTATGTATTTCAAAGTTAAAAAGGATAATGATGTATTTATTGTTTGTGGTTTCATGTATATTTGTAAATACTGTAGGGGTTATACAACACCTGGCTTGGTTATGCAAAACTTGACTTGGTTATGCAATACCTGGGTTGCTTATGCAATATCAGGCTTGGTTGTGCAACATCTGGCTGAGCTATACAAAACCTGGCTGGGCTATACACCACCTGGCTTGGTTATACACCACCTAGCTTAGTTATACTCGGCTGATCTCTACAGATTCAGCATTTTACATAAATGTAAAAAATTTTCTGGCTAGGATGTTCATCTCTGGAGTACTGTAGCCACTGCTCCCTTGTCCTCACATCAAACAGGCAAATGTTATTGTCTGGTTAGATGGTTTGTATATAAGATCAAATGAATAGATCTTTGTTTATGCAGCATCCTTGGCTGGGGTTGAACTAGAGTAAAAAAACATGATAGTTGCATCATTTTTTTTTGATGTTCTGGTGTTAGTGTTAGCAAAGTAGGAATAATCAGGGGATTCAGAGACCTGGTTAGTGTGACTGAGTCCTGGAGGTGGGAAGTACAGTACCTGTACTCTGAAGGATGGGTGAGGGTGTTACAGTACTGGAGGTGGGAAGTACAGTACCTGCACTCTGAAGGATGGGTGAGGGTGTTACAGTTCTGGAGGTGGGAAGTACAGTACCTGCACTCTGAAGGATGGGTGACGGTGTTACAGTTCTGGAGGTGGGAAGTACAGTACCTGCACTCTGAAGGATGGGTGAGGGTGTTACAGTTCAAAGGGTCACATTAACTGTGGTGTTGCATTGCTTCTGACAAGACAGCTATTGAATGAATGATGATGAATGTGTTTCCTATTTTATTTAATTGCCCCATCATGGTGGGAGACGCCTGATATGTAAAAAAATATATATATTCTTTTTCTGTATTTTTTTCAGGTCTCTGTATTAAAAAGACTGCTACACAGTTTTGAATGGCAAATAACCAATTGCTGGATAGTCAATGATGTATTTATTTAGCCACTGTGTGCATGATAATGTGTATAAATAATGTGTATAAATGTGTAGGATGAGGATCTTCCATGACACTATATATCTCTGAATTCATATAGGTAATGAATAACAGCATTTTTATGCCTTTCTCATAATTCAGTGTTATACAGCAGCACTGTACAATCAGTGCCATTTTGTGATGTAGTGCTTGTGAGGTCACTGAGGAAGACATAACTCCAGTAAAGTGTCAGACACCTTGCCTTGGCAAATAGCTGTCACACACACCTCTCAGCTTAAGTCAGGTCTTTTGTTCTTGAACTGGTGTCAGGTTGTAACATGTGGTCTATGCCTTATGGGGAAGGGGGGGGGGGTGCTTTAAGGACCATATAAGCTCAAGGAAACAGCTAGAGAGAGAGGTTGGTGACAGGTCCAGTGAGCGGGAGCCCTGGACAGTCGTGTGTAGTGGACCTCGCATTGCGAATCTCGGGTCAGCTGGTCGGTGAATTAAGAGTGAGTGCAAGTCCGTGTTACTGATAACATCTACCCTTTCTCTGGTAATAAGTCTCATAGGTCAATTGTTTTTTTTTTTTTTTTTTATCACACTGGCCGATTCCCACCAAGGCAGGGTGGCCCGAAAAAGAAAAACTTTTAAACCCTCATTCACTCCATCACTGTCTTGCCAGAAGGGTGCTTTACACTACAGTTTTTAAACTGCAACATTAACACCCCTCCTTCAGAGTGCAGGCACTGTACTTCCCATCTCCAGGACTCAAGTCCGGCCTGCCGGTTTCCCTGAACCCCTTCATAAATGTTACTTTGCTCACACTCCAACAGCACGTCAAGTATTAAAAACCATTTGTCTCCATTCACTCCTATCAAACACGCTCACGCATGCCTGCTGGAAGTCCAAGCCCCTCGCACACAAAACCTCCTTTACCCCCTCTCTCCAACTTTCCTAGGCCGACCCCTACCCAGGCCTTCTTCCACTACAGACTGATACACTCTTGAAGTCATTTGTTTCGCTCCATTCTCTCTACATGTCCGAACCACCTCAACAACCTTCCTCAGCCCTCTGGACAACAGTTTTGGTAATCCCGCACCTCCTCCTAACTTCCAACTACGAATTCTCTGCATTATATTCACATCACACATTGCCCTCAGACATGACATCTCCACTGCCTCCAGCCTTCTCCTCGCTGCAACATTCATCACCCATGCTTCACACCCATATAAGAGCGTTGGTAAAACTATACTCTCATACATTCCCTCTTTGCCTCCAAGGACAAAGTTCTTTGTCTCCACAGACTCCTAAGTGCACCACTCACTCTTTTCCCCTCATCAATTCTATGATCACCTCATCTTTCATAGACCCATCCGCTGACACGTCCACTCCCAAATATCCGAATACATTCACCTCCTCCATACTCTCTCCCTCCAATCTGATATTCAATCTTTCATCACCTAATCTTTTTGTTATCCTCATAACCTTACTCTTTCCTGTATTCACCTTTAATTTTCTTCTTTTGCACACCCTTCCAAATTCATCCACCAATCTCTGCAACTTCTCTTCAGAATCTCCCAAGAGCACAGTGTCATCAGCAAAGAGCAGCTGTGACAACTCCCACTTTGTGTGTGATTCTTTATCTTTTAACTCCACGCCTCTTGCCAAGACCCTCGCATTTACTTATCTTACAACCCCATCTATAAATATATTATACAACCACGGTGACATCACACATCCTTGTCTAAGGCCTACTTTTACTGGGAAATAATTTCCCTCTTTCCTACATACTCTAACTTGAGCCTCACTATCCTCATAAAAACTCTTCACTGCTTTCAGTAACCTACCTCCTACACCATACACTTGCAACATCTGCCACATTGCCCCCCTATCCACCCTGTCATACGCCTTTTCCAAATCCATAAATGCCACAAAGACCTCTTTAGCCTTATCTAAATACTGTTCACTTATATGTTTCACTGGTCCACACACCCCTACCTTTCCTAAAGCCTCCTTGTTCATCTGCTATCCTATTCTCTGTCTTACTCTTAATTCTTTCATATAATAACTCTACCATACACTTTACCAGGTATACTCAGCAGACTTATCCCCTATAATTTTTGCACTCTCTTTTATCCCCTTTGCCTTTATACAAAGGAACTATGCATGCTCTCTGCCAATCCCTAGGTACCTTACCCTCTTCCATACATTTATTAAATAATTGCACCAACCACTCCAAAACTATATCCCCACCTGCTTTTAACATTTCTATCTTTATCCCATCAATCCCGGCTGCCTTACCCCCTTTCATTTTACCTACTGCCTCACGAACCTCCCCCACACTCACAACTGGCTCTTCCTCACTCCTACAAGATGTTATTCCTCCTTGTCCTATACACGAAATCACAGCTTCCCTATCTTCATCAACATTTAACAATTCCTCAAAATATTCCCTCCATCTTCCCAATACCTCTAACTCTCCTCTCCTATTTTTAACTGACAAATCCATTTGTTCTCTAGGCTTTCTTAACTTGTTAATCTCACTCCAAAATTTTTTCTTATTTTCAACAAAATTTGTTGATAACATCTCACCCACTCTCTCATTTGCTCTCTTTTTACATTGCTTCACCACTCTCTTAACCTCTCTCTTTTTCTCCATATACTCTTCCTCCTTGCATCACTTCTACTTTGTAAAAACTTCTCATATGCTAACTTTTTCTCCCTTACTACTCTCTTTACATCATCATTCCACCAATTGCTCCTCTTCCCTCCCGCACCCACTTTCCTGTAACCACAAACTTCTGCTGAACACTCTAACACTACATTTTTAAACCTACCCCATACCTCTTCGATCCCATTGCCTATGCTCTCATTAGCCCATCTATCCTCCAATAGCTGTTTATATCTTACCCTAACTGCCTCCTCTTTTAGTTTAAAAAACCTTCACCTCTCTCTTCCTGATGCTTCTATTCTCCTTGTATCCCATCTACCTTTTACTCTCAGTGTAGCTACAACTAGAAAGTGATCTGATATATCTGTGGCCCCTCTATAAACATGTACATCCTGAAGTCTACTCAACAGTCTTTAAAACTACCAATACATAATCCCAAAAAACTACTGTCATTTCGCCCTACATCATATCTTGTATACTTATTTATCCTCTTTTTCTTAAAATATGTATTACCTATAACTAAACCCTTTTACACAAAGTTCAATCAAAGGGCTCCCATTATCATTTACACCTGGCACCCCAAACTTACCTACCACACCCTCTCTAAAAGTTTCTCCTACTTTAGCATTCAGGTCCCCTACCACAATTACTCTCTCACTTGGTTCAAAGGCTCCTATACATTCACTTAACATCTCCCAAAATCTCTCTCTCTCCTCTACATTCCTCTCTTCCCCCAGGTGCATACACGCTTATTATGACCCACTTTTTGCATCCAACCTTTACTTTAATCACATAATTCTTGAATTTACACATTCATATTCTCTTTTCTCTTTCCATAACTGATCATTTAACATTACTGCTACCCCTTCCTTTGCTCTAACTCTCTCAGATACTCCAGATTTAATCCCATTTATTTCCCCCACTGAAACTCCCCTACCCCTTCAGCTTTGTTTCGCTTTAGGGCCAGGACATCCAACTTCTTTTCATTCATAACATCAGCAATTCATCTGTTTCTTGTCATCCGCACTACATCCACGCACATTTAAGCATCCCAGTTTTATAAAGTTTTCTTCTTCTCTTTTTTAGTAAATGTCTACAGGAGAAGGGGTTACTAGCCCATTGCTCCCGGCATTTAGTCGCCTCATACGACACGCATGGCTTACGGAGGAAAGATTCTTTTCCACTTCCCCAATGGACAATAGAAGAAATAAAGAAAACAAGAGCTATTTAGAAAAGGGGGAAAACCTAGATGTATGTATATATATATGCATGTGCGTGTCTGTGAAGTGTGACCAAAGTGTAAGTAGGAGTAGCAAGATATCCCTGTTATCTAGCGTGTTTATGAGAC